TTACATCGATGTCTGTTTTGAATTCCTCCAACCACACATTAGGTCTTCCTGTCGCATGTGAGGTTGTTGTTCGTTTTCGCTGGATCCTTCGAATTTTCCCCCCCTCCGCAATGTCTCCATCTAGCCACCGCATCAACTCCCGCTTCAGACGCTCCATGGAGTGAATGTGCCAGAATTTCATTTTCATCGCAGGTTTCGTGGCGGAGAAGATAAAGTAACCATCTCTGATAAAAATCTTGGGCGACGTCATGACGCAAATAACAGAGTAAAAAATAAAAATACAGTGCGAGAAAGTGTGCGAAATTTTGGAGAAACGGACGAATTATTTATAAAACAGCATTTTGCCCTAGTTTTGCCCTAGGAGCCAAGTGAGATGGCGCCTCCTCTCACTTTTAAGGAGCATGCGCCATCTCACTTGGCTTAAAGTGAAGGGAGGCGCCAAGTGAGATGGCGCCTAGGGAAAAAGTAGGGGTGGAGGCGCCAAGTGAGATGGCTCCTCCTTTAGGGAGTCATCTGAAACATGGTTATTTGCGTAATTTTTTCTGAAACGCGTTTATTTACGAAATATTATTTTAATACTTGGTTATTGTAAAAAAAAATTCGAGCAATCTTAATTATAAAATGCTCTTTGAATAGATAAAATGTATCTAAAAAGATAAACTTTCTTCAAAAAGATAAGTTTTCAAGGAAGAGAAAAGAAAAAACAAACTTTGAAAACTAAAAGTGCTTTTTGGACATTGTTTGAGGTATCGCAAAACTCTGCAAGCAGCGTTATAATGTTGAGTAGAAGGTTTAGAAAGATATTGACTGAGTTGTTGTATGATAAACGTGATATCTGGGCGAGTAGTGTTGAGGTAGATTAGTCTGCCAATGAGTCGTCTATAAGACGGAACATCGTGATAAGCAGAACTATCATCTTGACAAAGCTTAAGTGATGGATCGGATGGTGTGTTTGCTGGTTTGGAACCAATGAAATCTGAATCCTTGAGAAGATCAAGACAATATTTTCTTTGGCAAATGGAGATACCACGTTTTGAGTGAGCTACTTCTAAACCCAAAAAATATTTGAGAATGCCCAAGTCCTTGATCTTGAAGAGCTGATGAAGAATATTTTTCATAGTTTGAAACTCTTGTAGAGAGTTACCTGCTAAAATAACATCATCAACATAAACAAGTAAAATTGTAAAAGTGGAGGATGTTTGTTTAACAAACAGTGAATGATCAGAAGGTGCTTGAGAGTAGCCTTGAGCAGTGAGGACTGAAGTCAATTTTTCAAACCATTGTCTGCTTGCCTGCTTTAATCCATAAAGTGACTTAATGAGTTTGCAGACCTGGTTAGGTTTGGAAGTTTGGACACCTGGTGGAATCAACATGTAAACCTCTTCATTCAGATCACCATGAAGAAACGCATTATTCACATCGAGTTGGTGAAGATGCCAGTTATAGATTGAAGCTAAAGCTAGAACCAATCGAACTGTGGTGAGTTTTGCAACAGGTGAGAAAGTATCTGAGTAATCCAATCCTTCAATCTGATTGTATCCTTTAGCAACAAGACGAGCTTTAAATCTTTCTATGGTTCCATCAGATTTATGCTTGATCTTGTAAACCCAACGACAACCAATGGGTTTAACATGGGGTGGAAGATCCACAATTTTCCAAGTTCCAGTTTGCTCAAGTGCAGTAAGTTCAACTTTCATTGCTTGATTCCAACATTCAAATTTGCTAGCCTCGGAATATGTTTTAGGTTCATGATTAGTAGTAAGGGAAAGAGTGAAACAATAATGAGTAGGAGACAGATTATGATATGAAATGAAATTAGAAAGAGAGTTAGGATTACCTAAAGATGATTGGCATTGTAGATCAATGAAGGTTGTACAGACATAATCTTTCAAAAAGGATGGTAATGTTTTGGTTCTTGTAGAGGCACGAGTGGGATGTTGTGTATTAGAGGTGGGTGGATTAGAATTGGCCAGGGAGCTGGAAGGTGGATTTGAGTCAGTTGTGGTGGGTGTAAGATTGAGGTGGTTATTGGAAAGGTCAAATTGAGAAAAATTAGATATGTCATGACAGAGGTTTGGATTGGGAACTGAAGTGCTATAATATTCCCAAGGAGGTGTGATAGATGAAGATTGATTTTGGTAAGGTAAAATTTGATCATGGTAAGTGACATTTCTTGAAATGAAAATGTTGAATGAATTTAGATCAAGTAAAATAGAGCCTTTATATCCAACAGCATATCCAAGAAACAATGATTTTCTGGCTCTTGTATCTAATTTAGTTCTTTGATTGGACAAGGTATATGCATAGCACAAAGATCCAAAAACTTTAAGTTGGTTAATGTCTGGTGGTTTATTATGCAGTATGTTATAAGGGGATTGGTTATTGAGTAAAGGAGTGTTAACTCTATTTATAATAAAGGCTCCATAACTAATTGCATAGGACCAGTAGGATTTAGGTAAATTTGAATGGTACAGTAAGGCTCTACCTACATTAAGCAAGTGTTGATGCTTCCTTTTAACCCTTGCATTTTGTTGAGGGGACTCAACACAAGATCTTTGATGGATAATACCCTTTGAGGCATAGAATTGAGCTAAGAGAAATTCAGGTCCATTGTCATACCTAATGAACTTAGGACATGTATGGAACTGATTCTCTATGAGAGCAACAAATTGTTGGACATGTGTAGAAACTTCAGATTTGTTTTTAAGTAGTATGATCCAAGTAAATCGACTGTGATCATCAACAACTGTCAAAAAATATTTGTGATGATGGATAGAATTTGTAGAGATAGGACCCCATATATCAAAATGCAACAATTCAAAATTTTGAGAAGCTTTAGAATGACTCAAAGTGTAAGGTATTTTCTTATGTCTAGCATAATGACACACATCACATACAGATTTATTGTCATTGAAAATATCAGGATACATTTGAGCCATTTTGGAAAGTCTATCATGTGATAAATGGCCCAATCTAAAATGCCACAAAGCTTGTTTAGGAATCATTTTACAATTATTGGGAATTCAAGTTTCTACATGAGGTTTGGATGAGGAAATACTTGAAATACTAGTTGTTGCAGGAAAAGAATCAATATATGTCCTTAGTCTGTACAACCCTTCCACTTGATTAGCCAAACCAATCATCTTCTTCGTTTTCACATCCTGAATAAAACAATCATTAGCAGAAAAAATGAAATGACAATTAGTGGATTGACAAAGTTTGGAAACAGACACAAGGTTTAAGGAAAAATCAGGTGTGTATAACAAATTATTAAGCTGCAAGTGAGGAGAAAATTGAATTGTTCCTGCATGTTTAGCTAGAACAACAGATCCATTAGGTAGACAAACACTGATAGGCTGAATTTTGTGGTAACAACTAAACAATTTAAGAGATGAACAAACATGATCATTGGCACCAGAATCTAAAATCCAATAATCAGGTTTTATGTATGTAGAACAGGAAACTGTAGAAACAAAAGATTTACCTGAATTCTCATTTGGTGTATGACCAAAGTGAGTGGAAATATGGTTGGCACTTGGATTTGGGTTAGGGTTGGAAGGCAGCAAATTTGTTTGTTGTAACAAACCAATCAATTGAGCATACTGTTCTTGAGTGATGCTGGCACTTGAATTATTGAGAGAACCTTCTGTTCCAGTGTTCATCACATTTGGTGTAGCAGCAGCAGTAGAGGCATTTCCTGATGTTGACTTTTTGGTAAAATTGGGAGGAAATCCATGTTTGCGATAACACACATCAATTGTATGGCCAGTCCTGTGACAAAAAGTGCATACTCTACCATCTTTCTTATTGTTAGATGTTCCACCATAAGAGTTGGAAGATTTACCAGCAAACTTCTTTGAATCATATACATTAACAAGGATATTGGCTTCATCAATAGTGGAATTAGAATCAGGTTGACTCAACACAGAAATATTATTACTCTTTTCTTGAACCACCATAGAATATATTTTGTTAATGGATGGTAGAGGATCAAGTAACAAAACCTGAGTTTTGATAACAGAAAACTTTTCATTCAATCCTATTAAGAATTGTATAATCTGATCTTCAAGACGAAATTCTCTAGCACTACGCATGGCATCACATCTGCATTGTTGAGCACAAGTACAGCTACGGATTGGTCTATGAGAATTCAATTCTTCCCATAAACCACGAAGCTCAGTGAAATAATCAAGAACAGATTTGTTTCCTTGTTTGAGATTGTTAATCTCAGCACGCAAATTAGAGACGCGGATTCTATCAGTTTTAGCAAATCTTTCTTTGAGATCAATCCAAACGTCAAGAGCATTTTCCAAGAAAATAATGGTTTGTGCGATAGCAGGACTTACAGAATTGAGAATCCATGAATGAACAAGACAATTGCATCGTTCCCACGCAGATCGATTAAGATCGTTGATACTTGGAACACGAATGGATCCGTTGATGAACGCAATCTTGTTCTTAGCTCCAAGAGCTCTTTCCATGGATCTTGACCACGAAATGTAATTCGAACCATTCAATTGAGGTTGAATATTAACAGAATTGGGACCTTCGCTAGGATGAACATAGTAAACCGAATCAACATCACAATTTGTGATTCGATTTGCAGTAGGATCATTACGCGGAGGCATGTTGAAATCAAAGAAAAGATATGAATAGAAGGGAAAAAACGGTGCGGAAGTGTGGAAAGAGGATCGAAGACGATGATACCATATTATGCTTCACACATGGAAGCCATTGAAGAGTGGTAAGAGAGCTCAAAGTAAAGAGCAAGAAGATAAAATGCAGTGAGTAAGAATCTCTTATACAATGAAAGAAGATTACACCAGTTATATAGTAGGAGGAAAGAGCAACTAACTATATAACAGAAAGTGTAACTAACTATATAACAGAAAGTGTAATTAACTATATTCTATTTGTGTCATCTATTAGTTTATAATTTTTTTCCCTACAAGAGTGCATCTGTTTCCACGTTTTATAATGATTTTGATCACCGTCCGTGATTACTGACATAAATAATGACAGTAACAAGCCAAAACGTTGCAGCCTCCACCGATAGCGTTCTCTCTCTCCTTGCACTGATCATTGCATATGCTAGAGCCGACACAAGGTCCATTCCATGTTCCACTTGGCCTACCACAAAGTGCAGCAGCAATACGAACCTCTGCATATAAGGGAAAAAAGAAATCACTCGTGAGATATAATTATAGTTATTACATAAAAATTGTTTACAGACATATAAAATTTAATCCTTAGAGATATGAGAGGTTAACCAGCAGAAATAAGGCGAAGAGCGAAGCAGAAGAACACAAAGAAAGTGAACAAATGACGAGTAGCAGTAGAAATAGCCATTTAAACCTGCTGGTAATAATATTAATATAAGATGTTTGTTTGGAGCTAGCTAGAGGAAAAGCAACGAGTACATATAGTAAGACTAAGAGCAAATGATAGTTTGGGAAAATATGGGTGTCTAATTAATGCCGGAAAGACGGCACAAAATTGGCCGTATCTGCGGGGTGCGGTTTCTTAATAAACCGTATTCTGTTCCGTGTCTTTGTTTCATTCCATTTCTTGATATACTGCCCGGCTGCCTCATAATTATGAGAGTAATTGCTTCAAAAATATAAATTTATTTAGATGAGGCATACACTAACCCTTATAAAATGAAGCATACACTAACCCTTATAAAATGAAGAGTTATTTACTTTTAATGATTTATACTAATGAAATTTTATTATGTAAAGATAATTTTTAAAATTACACGCTAATAAAAATTTTTAATATATTATATCTATGTTTTTTCTCATTAATTTTTTTTTAATATTCTCTCTTCATCCAATATAATAATCATTACCCACACTTGACATATCAACATCTTATTACTCAAAAATCAAGTTATATATGATTTTCTTGATTTCATTTTGATTCTTTAAGGTTTTAGAATAACATCTGATTTTAAAATTTCAGTTTATATGACAAAATTTGATTAACACATCCATAAGAGATAAATTATTCCTAAATTTACAAAGGATAGCTAAGAATTTATCATTTATTTTTTATTAGTTAATACGACAAAGAAGCAGACAATCAATAATTATGTTTAAAAGAGACAAATGCAAGGCGTTTCTGCCCGACTATAATAGTCATCGACCGACCATTCAGAAGGAGTTGCAATTCGTTTAGAACATTCACAACGCAAAAAACTACCATACAGAAGAATACACGTGATTCAAGTCTCAGATACATCTAAGACTCCATGCATCACACACCTAACAAATAGTGGATTGTTATAACTATTTCACTATATAAAGAATCGACACGAAGAATTCAGATTTACAATTTTAAATTTAATTTTCATTCACTCTTCTCATTTACATATTGACTTGAGCATTGGAGTGCTAATCTTGCAGATCAGTCCATCCTTTACTGCATTGAAAGCTCAAATTAATTGCTATCACTACTATAAATATTATATTTTGTGGCAATTTTTTCACCTCACGTAACAAAATACCAAGGTATAATACCTTAATGCGCCTTTTTTTCTTCTTTTTAAAATGAAAAACTAGCAAACTAATTCAGGTAATCCCAAAAACTTCAGTTTATGCTTCAAATTAGTTTACGCATCGGTTTTGCTAAAAAAGTTGAGGGGTAAACTAATTCAAGATACAAACTTCGAATCCCAACAACTTCAGTTTATGGTTTTAATTCAGAAATAAGCCACTTTTTACCTTGATTTTGTAGCATTCAGTTACACTTACCAAAATAATATATACTAAAAAAACACCCACAAAACTCTAGCAAAAAGCTCAAGACAACAAGAGCCTTCAACACACATCGTCTTCTAACGTTTGGAAAAGCAAGAAAACACAAAGATGATATGTGTTTAGGACTCATGTTCGCTTCTTCTTCTTCTTCTTCTTCTTCTTCTTTTTCACTTCTTCTTCACAGGTCTAGTATGTTTCACCTCACTATTCGTGTTACATTAACGTTGTTGTGTTTTTTTGTTATTTGTTATTGTTGTTGAGACCTGGAACATTAGAAGTTTGAATCTTGTTATTTTTTAGACCCGAACCATAGAGATTTAATCTTGTTGTTGTTGTTTAAACTGAGATTGATGTTATATGATATTCTTTTTGTTAAGATAAATATGTTATAGATAGGTTTATTGAGATTGATGTTATAGGTTTATTGTTGATATTACTGTATTTTTTATAGATATTTTTTGTTTTTGAGATGTTATATAATGTTAGTTATTGTTTAAATTAAGATAATGTTAATGTAGTTATTTTTATTTTTGAGTTGTTAATGCTATTGTTGTTGTCGTCTAGTTGTTATACTTATAAAAGTGTTGAAATCTATATGTTTAAGGTTGAATTTTTGTTATTGAGTTTGAGACTAAGATTATGTTATTTTGTGATTCTTTGTGCAACTCTCATCTATTTGCTCTGAACATGTAAATAAGACATTATAGTGACAGAAAATACACTTGAGTTTATTATATCTAATATCGATTGTTTGTTTCACTAACCCCTCTTTGAACATATAATCTATTAAATTGTTTTTGTAAATAATAATATGAAAAATTATGTTGTATTTGAAAAACATCATACATTAGATTGGCGTTCAAATTTTGGGGTACAACAGTTGCCCCTGTTCAATCTTCTTAAACTTGAGGATATAGATTGGCGTTCGGGCCTTTCGTAATCCGAAGGTGGAAGATGATTGAACACTAGAGTGCCCAGAAATTTGCACTCGCATGAAGTAGCATCTGTCTTGTGATGTCGGGAATGGGCTTACAGATGCCATTTGGAGAAGTGTCGATCGCATAAGAGATTCCTTAGCGAGAATTTGCACACTTGTTGTTTGTAGAAGATTCCGCTGGGGAAGTCTAACTTTTGTGGAGATTTAGGAACTTGCTTGTACTTCAACTGAGAGAATGCTTCAGCTGGGTTTTAAGAACCTGTCCATAATTCAATTGGGGAAAACATCTTCATCAAGATCTAGGAACTGTCTCGTGCTCAACGTAGTATACCGTTGAGGTTATAGCACTCATCCACACTATGACGGAGGAAAACATCAAGATCTAGGAACTGACTCGTGCTCAACGTAGCATACCGTTGAGGTTATAGCACTTGTCCACACTATAACGTAAGGAAACATCTTCATCAAGATCTAGGAATTGTCTCATGCTCAATGTAGTATACCGTTGAGGTTATAACACTCGTCCACACTATGACGGAGGAAAACATCAAGATCTAGGAACTGACTCGTGCTCAACGTAGTATACCGTTGAGGTTATAGCACCTGTCCACACTTTGACGGAGGAAAACATCACAATCTAGGAACTGACTAGTGCTCAACGTAGTATACCGTTGAGGTTATAGAGCTCGTCCATACTATGACGTAGGGAAACATCTTCATCAAGATCTAGGAACTGTCTGCTCTTCAACGGAGTATACCATTGAAATTAGAGAACTCGTCCACACTATGACGGAGGAAAACATCAAGATCTAGGAACTGACTAGTGCTCAACGTAGTATACCGTTGAGGTTATAGAACCTATCCACACTTTGACGGAGGAAAACATCATGATCTAGGAACTGACTAGTGCTCAATGTAGTATATCGTTGAGGTTATAACGCTTGTCCATACTATGACGTAGGGAAACCGTCGAGATTGAGAACCTTATCCAAAATTCAACCGAGGATAATTCAATTGAAATTTAAGAACCGGTCAGGTCTTCGACGTAACTGAGAACTTTAACTGTATCTTTCCTGAAAGGTAAAGGTCAGTCACATGCAATGCACGATATGGATCAAGAAATGATGTTCTCAAAATAAATGAGATTTTATTCGTATGATGTGTATATGCATGTATCATGATGTATGGAAATGTGATGTTTTAGCTGGGGAAAATAAATCCCGGAGCTGCTGGAGAATAAAGTTGAATGCTTCGCTTTCGCTGGGGATGGTGGACGAAGGTGATAAATTTGTAGGAGAGAAGAACTCTGTTGGGGGATAAACTGATGAAGAGATTATTCTGAGAGGAATTACTCTGTGGGGAAGAGATGTTCTACTGAGGATTTTAACGATAAACTCCACTGGGAATTCCGCTGATAGACTCTGTTGGGGATTTCAATGATGAACTCCGCTGGGAACGAACTCCGCTGGGGAAGAATTAACGTTGCTGGTGATACTGAATCTGTTGAGGGTTGAATCCCTGTTCGGGGAAAGAAAGAACTTCGCTGGGGATGGTCTTTCAGTTGCAACTTGCTGAGGATAACCCAGTTAGACTCTTGTGAGGATAACCTTCTGAATTTGGCTGGGGAGATTTATTTGTGCTCTGCAGGGGATAAGCTTCCAGAATCTACTGGGTAAGATGATTCAACTCTGGCAGGGAAGCTTTTTTAGACTGCGTTGGGGAAACGACTCCACTAGGGGTATCTTGTATTCCACCGGGGAACATTCTTATACTCTGTTGAAGAATATTAAGACTGCCGGAGATGCTCTTATACTTGCTGGGGAATATCTTTATACTCCACTGGGGAAGATTAAGATCTTCTGGTGATACCACACCTTCTTGGGGCTGATGGTAGACTAACTCTGCTTGGGGGAGAGTATTGTTGATTTGTTCAACTACAAGTCCTAGTTGGGAGAGATACCATTATTGTCTTACTCTGCGGGGAGTGATGGTATCTTGGTCGTATTATTCAGCTGAACCTACCTTGGTACCTTGGTGGACAGAGCAACTAGACAGATCAGACAATTCTTATTGCCCCTGCTTCTGTTATTACCCGTAATTCGTCCTTTGTTTCGCATGTAAATTTTTATGAGCAGCAATTAATGTCAAATGCATATATCAAAAATGAACATTGGACGTTCTTTGCAAAATAAAACAGATAAAGGAAAAACAATTTGAAATTTGTCTGAACATGAATTTGTATTGATTTTGAAGTTTGCCTGTAAATAGGCGTTTTTGTACAAGAGGTTGACGTCCTAGTAAGAGAATACCGCCGAACAAATAGAATTTATATAATTTGTGAAAAGAAAACAAAACAGCTATGTGAATAATCCCACTGGGTTCCAACTCTGCTATTGCCTTTATATCTTCAAGCGTCTCATCACTTTGTTGCTTAGTTGAAGATGAATCTGATTGATCAGTGTCGTCCGAGCTTGATAGTTGATATCGAAGTCTGGATGCGAGGTGATCCAATGAAACATAGTGTTACACTTTAATCCCTAATTTTTGCCTGGACCGCCCTTTCGGGTTTTCAGTCCACTGGGATACCCCTTTTTGCCCAAGCCGCCTTTTCAGGTTTTCGACTTGCCGGGTGTACAGATTTTTTTTAATTT